CAAACATAAGCTAGGGGACAGTAAACGAATATGAGAAGACATGACCTGCAAGCAGCAAATGAATTGTGACTTCCGCCGTGTATGAAAATGAATTTACAATGAAAATGGCAAGTGAAAATAATGATCAAGAAAGTCGCAACCATAACCTTTGTGAAGACAAGCAAGCTCTTGAAATTCACCGTCTTTCATTCATTAATACCAAAGCAACCCTCTAAACAGAAAGAAATGTATGACGCCCAGTAGCTGGTCATCCAGCATAAGCATTTTAATGAGTTTACGAACCAGGTATAAACTTTTTTTTGCATATCCCTAATTTATAACGGCAGGAACAGCAACAGTACCATCATTAATACTTGCAGTAGCAGTTTAACATCAGTTTGGGGAGCACTAACAGGTGAATACAAATAATGACAGATCTACAATGATAGAACCACCAGTGAGAGACTATTAGCTCTGAAGATTTTGCTCCATGTCAATCAATCAGTTACGATGTGCGGTCCCAGAAGCAGAATCATCAGCCACTGTTTAAGCAGTTCCGATTTTGCGTCAGCGTTTGAGCTTCGGCATAAGATGACCCGAATCTGCAGCAGAGTCCTCTCAGACATTTGCTTCAGGTTATTCTACGCCGTACACTGGGTCTTTAGACAATCGGCCGACAATTAGTAGTTGATTCGTCTTCCTTTCCAGAGGCATCTGCAATATATGCTCAAACCATCCCAGCGGTGACTTCTTCGTCTGGAGAAGCATCAGCTGCACATCAAGACTATCTCGCATATTTGAACTCCTAACCATGTCGAGTCGCGTAAGACTAGCGATTCGTTTCATGAAGCATATTTCAGCCATCTGTGTTCAAGATCGAAGATTTTCAGTCATGGTCCACGATTCACGACGGCAATTAAGCATTCCGAGATCGAATCTGAACCCAGAGAGCTTAGATGTCATAATCAGCTCTAACAGCGCCACAGCGGTTCAAGAGAGTTCACGCAGAACGCCGCTGGCAATTTCAATTCGACGGAAGATCTACTGCGCTTATGTTCCATTGCCAGATAACACATGATGCCGAGGTACGTGAATTTCTTCACTTATTCCATTGCTTCTCCGTTTATCTACAGAGAGTAATGACCAGGAGAAGGATAAAAAGCCGTAGGCGTTTTGTTTTAGTCACGTTCACACGCATGCCTGCCACGTCGCACTCGGTTGCGAACCTTCATAGAGCGTTCGAAAATGGTTTCAGAAGATGCCAACATAAGGTCGTCTTTAATCAACAAATTTTCAGTCACACCTCTCCAACGCTGAAACAAAAAATATCCGCTGACTGCTGTCATTCCGGCGAGTCTTCCTGCGGGAACTCAGATTTAATGCGTTCCTTAAAGTACTGTGGCTATCGCCAAAGCATATCCACTATCTTGGTAAGAAGGCGTCCAGCTTTCCCATTCAGGACTCTCAGACTGTTCTTCTTTCCATCTCGGAGGCAGCAGATGAAACTAGAGAATACCCCGTTTGCCGTTTGGAAATTCGGCTCTAAAATATCACTGAACTTTCGCCATGAATAAGCTTTTTCGCCACTGCTTTAGTTGCCACTTGCGCGATTCTACATACAGCAGGCAAGTTGAAGGCATTTTGCTTCCAAGCCTTTTCTCTTTAACTGTCAGTTGCACCTCCCATGCCTACCAGAAAGTTCTTTTCTGTCCTCCAGGCGGTAGGCCAACCCGTTTGAAACAACGGCATTCATCGGCAGCTCCGTAAACTGCTCTTAAACAGGTCTTGCGTTGTTTCCACGTGTTGTCATCATCGGAATGTGTTCAAACCGTCGTGCAATGCTATTTGCAAATTTCGCTTTCGTATACACCGAAGATTATGATTATCATTTCATTCTCTGGTTGGTTCTACCATCAGATCTTCGTACAGTTCTCCATCTCTTACTACGTGGGATGCCAACAACAAAGTGGTGATTAGCAGATAACTCTGCGTCTCTCTTAAGGCGAACATCTATTACTGAGCTTCTTAAGTCAGACGATACGATCTTCAAACGATCATCGACTTCTGACCACAAGCTTCCCGGTACCAAGTATACTGATACACCTCTCGATATTCGTGCTCATAATGGACAATCCGTTGTTTGCCCAAAACCGCAAAAACTTCATGCTGTTATTACTGAGGTCGCTAGGGCCGTTTTTTCCAATCACGCGATTTCACTCTCCAGTGTCTACTCCAACGTGTGCATTAAAATTATACATTAGAATGAAGAACTCTGTAGTTAGGTCTCTGTACAGAGTACACTTTAATTTTTCAAGCAGATACTCATATTCTCCTTTCAAACTAGTCGCACAGGGGTCAACGCTCTAGCATGTTTACGTTCAGTTCACTCTTCCGCTGACGGTTTTCAGCCAATGATTCTGTTAGCCCAGTTGGGTTATACTAGAACACCAACATGGGCTTGAGTGAGCTTCGTGATTTCGACATCTGAGTAGAATTACTTCCAACCGGAGAGGTTCAGAATTTCAGAGTATTGGAGCTTCATTGGAGTCCAACCATGTAGAGGTGGTACCTTACTGCCTCATCAACTAGCTCCTGTTTTTTTTCGTTTGGGTGAGAATATATTCAATTTCCGATCATAAGCTTCTACTGGTGGCGTCGTTCTTGTGGAGTTTTACCTAACGGATTATAATATCACTGCGCGGCCCCGCTCCTCCATTCAGAACGGGTAGCGGCTTCGCCGTTGGTACGTTCGTCGTCGTTTTGTTCGATATTCGGCAGCCATTGTCGTCCTGCTATGTCCCTGGCTGCCAGAAGGCAAGTAGCAAGTTCTGATGTGATTCCAATGTCTCCTAGCGTGCCTCAGTTACCCAACAGGTACGCAGCCCTTGGTAATCCAGGCGATTACACAGGTGAAATAACATCTGACAACGGCAGGCAAGTGGCTACGTTTTATGGGAGAGCTCTACGCGAAGATCTCACTGCTTGTATAAATATAAATTTATATGCTTAGGAGCATAGCGGTTATCAGAATACTGATATTTCCAAAACAAATGTAATGATCATGCACGATCGAGACGGTTGTGAAGCATAGATGTTCAACGACTTGAACGTCAAAAATAAGCTGTGTACAGAAGTTGCTTGTGGTTTCTGAGAGTGATGAAGAGAAAGAACAAATACGAATGGCGATAAAAACTTCGTGCGGCCAACTACTGGATTTTGCGCAATCGCAGATTAGCTGCTAACTATTATCTGCCCCGCCTGTTAGAAAGGTTGTAAATGTAGAAAAATATTTGGGTTTACTCCTGCAGAATCTTGCTGTCGGTAGTTTGCGGATAACCGAAATCCATCATTTCATCGAAAAGCTCGTAAATGACCACGAAATTGTCACGAATTGACTCTTCTTCCAGTTCTTTAAAGTATTCCGTCAAAACCTAAACAAAAAGTATATTATGAATATAAGGCATTCCAATGAAAAGACGAATAAGAAACACATACTTCTATCACTTTGTATAGATAAGAAAGAACCAATGCGGCGTTTGCGTTTTTCTTCGATATGGATACGACTGAAACAAATAATTGCAAATTAAAAAAAACTGAACAAAAAATAAACCATATAAAGTAAATGGAATAATAAACTGTAAGACAAATATGCAATCTGCAAGTCGAAAATCGATGTGCACTTACGATAGAGGTTCGAATGTTTGACGTATATGAATATCGCCTCGTGATGGAAAACGATAGGCGTGACGCAGCCCTCTTCTTCTTTCTCCATAAGAAGTGGCATGAACTTCTCGATCACACCCATGTCCACGTCACCACGGTAGTTTCTGCTGATGATCACCTTGCCTTTGAGATCGAGGAAAAAGATGGCTGAACAGGACATCGCTGGTGAGAAATTTGGATGAGAAGTGAAGAGGCAGAATGCGGAAGTTAAGTGAAATGTATCAAGGCACCAGTTGCTTGATCATCAATGCATATAACGAATTTCGTAATGGTCAGTCATTCGTTCAGATGACGGTCAAATACCAACACCATAGGTAAAAACTAAAGAATAGAAAATCAACAATTAACATTGAAACTTATTAGAGAGCGAGCAATCGTAGATATCGAAGCTATACGAAAATTTTAAAATGAACATGTGTAATGAAGTTCATTTCAAAATATTCATAACGTTACAGAGCGTACGACCCGGCTGATCGCAGTCAGCTTGGGTACATATGTAGGAGTATGGGTTTAATGGCCAACAGCTGCGAGCAGTTCAATTACTGTTTCATTACAGAATAAACAGTGTTAAGTGGAAATATTTCACCGTGGGCTTTGAACACTCTTGGTCAAGGATGCGTTTCGACATCATTCCTGCTCATAATCTATATGAACAAGATAGCCAGACTCCCCAAAAAGAAGAGTGCAGCGAAATCGGTGAGGCCGAAATCAGAAGTTATTTTGTTCGCAGATTGCCTCCCCCTAATGACATAAACGGAAAAGGATTTGCAGAGAACACTCAATGGGATTACAAATAAATAACCAGTGGCCGGAATGCAGATAAACACGGTTAAAACAAAGGCTGCTGCGTTCTCTCGATTAGCTGTTTAATATGCTTGGCATGTTAATGCAGCTACACTGAGTCCAGGGAAAAACTTCAAATACAACTTAATGACATTTACGAGTGATGAACGATGGGAGGAGGAAATCGAGCGACGAATCTCTATGGCACGTGGTGTGATTCGTGAGCTTTAGTGGACCATCGTAACTAATGCGAAGCTGATTCTTCGAACAAAGCTCACCATGTTCAAATCGGTGTTTATTTCCACCCTCATCCATGGTCCTCAAGCTTTGGTAGTCATGAGAACGCCAGTTCAGGTGGTCGAGATGAGGTCTGACAAAAGAATCAAAAGAATCACGAGTTTATGCAAAATCAGAGTTTAGAAATTGGAGAATCCATCAAGATCGAGCAGCTACTTCTTAACATTTAAAGATCGCAGTAAAGACTGTTAGGCAATGTCTCAATGTCGCCAGAAACGAAGCCAATGATAACTGCCGCTTGCTCGATTGAGAGACAGAATATCTGGACAATGGCCCAAAAATAGTTCGTACAACTGCATCAAGGACGTTTATGCCAGACATTCGAACTTACCACCAGAGGTAGATTCTACGGCTCTAAAGTGATAAGAGCGGCATTACTTCCTGAGCACGTTGCTCCGTGATCCGAAAGTAAATACAGGAGTGCTAAAAATTCATGGGTGGGTCTTATAGCTCAAAACGCCATAAATAGCGAAGTCAATAATATCGTCTTTCTTCCTAGTTGCGTGGTATTTGATCTTCAGCTTCACCCAATTAAAAATCGCTATAGACACAGAGTTTGAACAAATTCTGCCGAATACAGTGGTAGACGTGAATACTGTTATGAACCACGAAACAGCTGGCTCATGAGGAGAGGTAGGTAGCAGAGGGCCGACAGAGATTGAGGGAATTGAGGATCATCGTTCCACTGCATTTACCTATACATTAGTAGAGGGTGTCGCATCATCCAATTCCGCCTACGATCAAAGCATCGAAGACAAATGATGGTCAACCAAAACGCAATTTGACTTCACTTCGAATAGTTTGACGCCAGAAAGGACTTCCAGCTCTGCCAGAATGCTCGCAATATGATTAGAGGTCGCAGTGCCGTAACGAAGAGAAAGCTCTTTCCTTAGAGCTGTCAGTGTCATTAATTAACCTCGTCTCTAAAACCTCCTCCTCGTTAGATTTGATTATGCATACTCCAGTCTCATAATGCACTACCATGGCATTAACCCTGTTTATGCCGGTCTATTTCAGTAATTGAATACTGGTTACACGACTGACATCAGGCTGTTTAGCTAAGAGTGTTGCAGCACCATCTACCATGCAGCGCGCCAAAGAAGTAAAGTTTCACTAGTGCTCTTCATCGCAGCCTTGGACTCACTACTTTTCATCTAGTAAAACCGGTGTAACCGTATCAATATCCACGGAAAGCATCTCAAAAATGCATCCCTTTGCATAAGAGACGATGCAGCAGCTTTGATGGAAGATCCAACTGTTGTAAGAGTATCCTTTATAATCAGTTTCGAGGTTAATCTCCTCAGGACGAAATGGATGTGAAACTAGCACTGCTCTGGGTGATCTGTCTATGTGAAAGGCGAAGAACTCGAAGAAGTGAAAAAACTCTGCA